TAGTTTTATTAATTTCTACGGTAGCAAAATAACAAAAAGTGTAAGAGATTTGAAAAAACTGCGGTGAAAGAGAATATCGAATGACAAAAATCTAGTTGTGAGTTGCAAATCAGCTTGTTTGAATATTGCTAAATGCAAGTAAAATAAATTAATTTTTTGAAAGACCTGGCTGGATTATTTAGTCCTAGTTTTATTAATTTCTACGGTAGCAAAATAACAAAAAGTGTAAGAGATTTGAAAAAACTGCGGTGAAAGAGAAGATCGAATGACAAAAATCTAGTTGTGAGTTGCGAATCAGCTTGTTTGAATATTGCTAAATGCGAGTAAAATAAATTAATTTTTTTTAAAGACCTGGCTGGATTATTTAGTCCTAGTTTTATTAATTTCTACGGTAGCAAAATAACAAAAAGTGTAAGAGATTTGAGAAAACTGCGGTGAATGAAAAGATTGAATGACAAAAATCTAGTTGTGAGTTGCGAATCAGCTTGTTTGAATATTGCTAAATGCGAGTAAAATAAATTAATTTTTTTGAAAGACCTGGCTGGATTATTTAGTCCTAGTTTTATTAATTTCTACGGTAGCAAAATAACAAAAAGTGTAAGAGATTTGAAAAAACTGCGGTGAAAGAGAAGATCGAATGACAAAAATCTAGTTGTGAGTTGCGAATCAGCTTGTTTGAATATTGCTAAATGCAAGTAAAATAAATTAATTTTTTTGAAAGACCTGGCTGGATTATTTAGTCCTAGTTTTATTAATTTCTACGGTAGCAAAATAACAAAAAGTGTAAGAGATTTGAAAAAACTGCGGTGAAAGAGAATATCGAATGACAAAAATCTAGTTGTGAGTTGCAAATCAGCTTGTTTGAATATTGCTAAATGCAAGTAAAATAAATTAATTTTTTGAAAGACCTGGCTGGATTATTTAGTCCTAGTTTTATTAATTTCTACGGTAGCAAAATAACAAAAAGTGTAAGAGATTTGAAAAAACTGCGGTGAAAGAGAAGATTGAATGACAAAAATCTAGTTGTGAGTTGCGAATCAGCTTGTTTGAATATTGCTAAATGCAAGTAAAATAAATTAATTTTTTTGAAAGACCTGGCTGGATTTTTTAGTCCTAGTTTTATTAATTTCTACGGTAGCAAAATAACAAAAAGTGTAAGAGATTTGAAAAAACTGCGGTGAAAGAGAAGATGGAATGACAAAAATCTAGTTGTGAGTTGCGAATCAGCTTGTTTGAATATTGCTAAATGCAAGTAAAATAAATTAATTTTTTTGAAAGACCTGGCTGGATTATTTAGTCCTAGTTTTATTAATTTCTACGGTAGCAAAATAACAAAAAGTGTAAGAGATTTGAAAAAACTGCGGTGAATGAGAAGATCGAATGACAAAAATCTAGTTGTGAGTTGCGAATCAGCTTGTTTGAATATTGCTCAATGCAAGTAAAATAAATTAATTTTTTTGAAAGACCTGGCTGGATTATTTAGTCCTAGTTTTATTAATTTCTACGGTAGCAAAATAACTAAAAGTGTAAGAGATTTGAAAAAACTGCGGTGAATGAAAAGATCGAATGACAAAAATCTAGTTGTGAGTTGCGAATCAGCTTGTTTGAATATTGCTAAATGCAAGTTAAATAAATTAATTTTTTTGAAAGACCTGGCTGGATTATTTAGTCCTAGTTTTATTAATTTCTACGGTAGCACAATAACAAAAAGTGTAAGAGATCTGAAAAAACTGCGGTGAATGAGAAGATCGAATGACAAAAATCTAGTTGTGAGTTGCAAATCAGCTTGTTTGAATATTGCAATTTCTTTTAAATTTTAAATAATTTATGGTTTATGGTATTTCACAATCCCAACAAATCCTTTATTCTTTAAGCTTGCTCAGCATCAGTCATCATTCATACTACACAATTTAATTTTTTTTTAAATTTCATCTGTAAATCTATGATTATTATTGGTTCTTGGTTATGCACGTACTCCGCTCATTTCCATGCTTACTTTCTTTGACAAATTTTTTAACTTCAAAGTCTCGCAATTTTCATGCGCCTTTAATATCTCTCTGACAATGAGTAAATATTCAAACGAATTGAAGGATTTTTTCGGTGTTTAATAGTAATTTTTTGATAAAAGGACTTTTTTATCCAAATCTTCAGACTACAAATTAATTTGAAAAAAATTTGTCTTTACCAGTTTCTAATATGTGTTAAAAGCGGAGATTAATTTTTTTTCAAAATGGACTACTCCTTCTTCAATTTTGACGGAGAGATGAGGAAAAAATGAGGATTTTCTTATTTGGAATAAACATGGGAAGCTTCAAGAAGGTATTATAATTTTTTCAGCAATACTTTAAATGAGTATCAAAATATACTAAATTACTTTATTTTCATGTCAATCAAAAAAGTTTTTTTTTATGTTTAAAAATGTGATTTACTTTAATTTATTTGAAGAGTTTTTCAACATTGTAAAAGCACATGTGCAATATTATGTATAATATTTTGTGTGTTGCAAATCATAAATGGAGATGACTGTTGTAAGAGTCGAAAAGTCAACAGTGAAAATTTTTTAGTCTGGATTATTGCTGAAGAATTCGGGAGATTCGTGTTTACAACGGTTTTTTTTTAATTTTTTCGAGTGATTTTTAATTCGAAATGGCTCTCAAGGGGAGACGGAGAGCCACAATCAAGAAAGTGAAACGGTAAATAATGTTTGTAAAGTGTTAAGCGCGTTAATTAAGATATCAAGGATTAGCAGAAGCGCGAATTCTTTGCCCTGCGATTTGAAATGCTCGCAAGAATTTGTAACTATATGTCAATTGAGACATTGAATTAATTGTTCCTTAAAAAAAATGTTTCGTTTTATTCATCAAGTTTTTTTGTAAATTGAGCGCAGAATAATTGAGCATTAGCCCGGCGGATATTTTAAAATTGAGAAATTTTTTAAATTAATATTAGGAGCACGGCCACGATTCGCAATGCAGTTTCCATCCGACTGGCAATCTCCTTTGCACTATCTGGTGCTGAAACTTTGACTCAGTGGCTCTCACCTGAAAAAGTCGGTGCAGCTCGAAGCACGTTCTTCAGTGCGCAAGGAGATGTGGGCCGATGCCTCTTCAACGATCTCAAAACATGTAGATCTTTTGAGCAAATGGTCCGTGTTGGTAAGGAAATGTAAAATATCATTTGAGCGAAAGTTAAGAAAAAAAAAATCAAAAGCACGCTTGCATGTTGCGGGAGAGCGCTGGCAGCTCCGGGCCCAGGTTTGGGCGGTGGCATTGTCGGACTCGGCGAAGACCAAAGAGTCCCTTAGCAGTAGTGTCGAGACTACGAGCATTGGTAAAAATAAACGCTGGGAATAATATATGCCCAATAAAAACTCATTCTTTTTAGTTACGACTCAATTTGAGCCAAAGTTCCGTGTGACTGCAACCGCGACACCAGCCATCACGCAAGAACGTACACACCTTAAAATAAACGGCTGAGCAAAAATTTTTTTACATAAAATATTATTTCCAGCGCTGCAGGTTGATGGCATAGTGCTAGTCCATCCGCACAATCGTCTTCAAGTCGAGCTAGGCTGCCCGAAGTCCGCTCATTACACCTTTAGACGCGGACAGTGCACTGTAAATTCGTGGATCATGCTCTTACAATACCTCCTTATGAAGAAGGTACGCGTTTTTAATGTCCACAACACCTTTTTAAAACTTTTGCATTCGGTTAATTAAATTTTTCTTAACTTTGTGACTGCTCTACTTTTGAAACAAACACTTTTTTGACGTCCTCAGCACATCTCCCTCTTCAAAAGCCTTACTGAAAACTCTCACCTCGACACAAACTTTGGTAGAGTCGTTGAGCTGCTGGAGCAGGCCCATGGACAGATTAGCAAGCAGTCTGAGACTGCTAAAACTTTGGGTGTATTAGAGTGGTACATGAAAAGTAGCAAAACAAAACTGCAGTCTTGATAATTTATAAATTATATATAGGAAAAAAAAACTTAAGGCCAAGGAGGCAGAGTTAGGCACGGATTTGTTCAAACTGTACGGTGAAGAGGCTCTCAAGATTTGGACCGCACTGACCAAGTTTGAGACATGTGAGGTGTGCAACGCCACCGAGTGCACCCTGCAGCAGCCCAATCTTGACAGGGCCTCCTTTCTGAGCATGATCCGTGGCCGCACTGAGAAGTCAATCGAATGCAAGGTAAACATTCCTCCTCCAGAATATCACACTTGATATTTATGAATTTATTTAATTTTCAGTGCGGCGGAAAGAGAACGGTGCATTTTGTTGTAAGCGAGTCAGGTTTTTACATCGACTTAGCACAAGAGAGGAGCCGACAGAAAACGCTAGAATCGCTCCTTGGCGATTTTCCGGCCACTGTCAATATTCAAAATAAGAAGTTCACACGACTGGTGATATGTGAGTCGAGTTTAATTTTTAAACTTTTATAGATTTTTGTCAAATTGCTTATCCTGGCCTTCCTTTTATAAGGCATGGGTGAATACCGAGGCTCGATTGCACACCAGTATCTGATCGTCGACGAGGACAAGAAATGGCAACGATTGTGTGACAGGTGGCCGGAAAAAATGAGTGTTGAATACAAGTTTGATCGGACGTACAAACTAGAGTTATCCGGTATCCTGTATGCCGTGATCTGGCAAGTACTCATTTTACTTCATATAATTCAATTTTTAAACTTTTATGAAATTAATTTATGTGATTTTTTTAATTCAAGACAGATTTGGCGATGCGGCGTGGCAGCGACAAAAATCCGGATATGTAACAAACGCTCGCCGTGCCCGCAACATTTTTTATTTTTTCTCGACCTCGTTTACAAATTTTTTTCCTATCTACCAGCCATTGCTACCAGCGGACAGATTTTAGAAAAAAAGGTAAAAAACATTTCTTTGAATTGCATCAATAATATATGTAAGTCCGACTTAAACGGAAACAAATTAGGGGAAAATACGACGGAGCGCGATAAAACAAAAAAGAAAAGCTCTTCTTACCTTCATTGGCAATTCCTGTTGCGGCGTCGTCCGCCGACGACGGCCGACGGCGATTCAAATCGGCAAGAATTGTCCGAAATGTGACTTTGCTTGTAAACTTTAGAAACTCGACTGGCCGGGGGCGTGGCAATGTTTACTGCGGCTTTGAAGTCGGGCACAGTCGGGCACGCCGACTTTACGTCGTCAATAAAATTTTCCAAATAATCCAAATTAATTTTCTACAGCTATCAGCACTCACACTGCCAAAGAACGGATGATAACTGGGAGGAGGAGGAACTTTTGCTCTTCCACAAGGTTGATTCGGAGATTAGGTTTATATTTCTATGTATTTTCCAAACTCCTCTTTTTGTTTGCCACGAATATTTAACTTCTCATTGGCAGGTCCAAGTCATTTACCAGCGCGGTCCAAAAGGCGTGCTAATGGTTGGACGATACGTGGTGGGCGAAGGGTCCTACAGAGGGGTACGTATTTGCACAGACGAAGGGTGGTGCACAAAGACCTGAAGCCGGGCGACCTGCTGACCATGGACGGCACCCTGAAGATCTCCGACTTTGGAGTGGCCTAGGTCGTCGGCCTCTTCGACCCTGAGGACTCGTCCCAGGACAGTCAGGGCATGCAAGTCTTCCAGCCACCTGAAATCGCCAACGGGGCCAAAACTTTCTCAAGGGTTCAAGGTCAATTCATAGTTATTTCTGCACTTGGGACAAATAGGGTTTTTTTATGAAAATTAGATGACAAATGGTTGAAGAGTTCTTATTACAAAAAAAGTTTTCTCAAAACAAATGCTTTTGGCGAAAATTTTACATTTAAAACTAGGAAAAGTTAAAATAAATCTTTAATCATACTTTTAAAAGATAATACATATAATATTTCTGGGTGATTCTGGGCATATTACATTTAATGTAAATTATGTTAAAATTGTGATCCCCTATTTTCCTTGTTGCCTGTTTGCCTTTCTCAAAACTTAAATCCCTTTTTCAAAATCAGGTTGATGTGTGGGGCTCTTGAGTGAGTTTGTTCAACATGTCCACAGGGCTGTACCTTTTCAAAGGTGACAACGCGTACTGTTGCTAATCTAAGGTCGGCGCCACACCTCTCCAATTTGGCAATTTGTCAACTTTATGCTGCGGTGCAATTTAATAAGCTCGTAGTTCGGACTTTTAATTTTTTTTTTTTAATTCATAATATAATTAGTAATATTTGTATGCCTTTTCATAGATTTCAATTCATCATGTTTTAGGAAATCCTTTTACCTCTTTCTGGCCTGGGTTTTGCATTAGCCAGTTGTGACTCGTCAGAATATTTGGACTAATTATTCGAAGTAAGTCTCATCAATCTAGGCTTTGACAAAAAAAACAGGGTTGGCAGTGTTGACACATAATTTTTTTTTTAAAACTTCCATATTTACCAGAGAAAATTAAAGTATAAGAGCTTTAACTGCTGCAGGTGTTTAACTGAAAACAGCCTAAAACTGATATTATTATTATTAATAAAAATTATGTTATTTTTTGTTTTTTCTTTACAGGAGGGTGACGTCATCTCAATCGTCATATTTTGCACTGGAAAACTCCCTCGGTCGCTTTGGTTGGAGACAGCGGAAGTGGAGAAAGCACGCTCTCAATGTTATTGCGACAAGATCCTAATTTGGTTGTCATCGAAAATGAGGGTGGCGAATTCGTCTTCAAGGACAAGGAAGACCGCAATTTATCTGCTTTGGAAACTGATCACTGAGCGTATGGACCTTAAAAAATTCACAGCAATGCCTGTTTTATATTAAAGAAATGATATTTGTTTTAGCTGTGTGATGGTTTTATCTACAATTTTACTTTGTAGATCAATTTGAGATTTAAATTGGATTAAAATAAATCTCTCAAAATGGCACCTATAACTTTAGCACACAACTTAAAATATAGAATGCAATTAGAATGATTACTATATGAAATAAATTCTACAGTGAGATTCACTGTAAATTGGCATTTTGGACACTGTGTTTTATTATACTATAAATAATTGGTTATTGAATTGGTCCAGTTCCTGTCACATTAAATTTGCACTTGGCGCCTATGGATGGTCCATGGACTCTCTCAAGCACTCCGCCTGTGACACTTGCAGATTTTGCACCGAGCTCCGGTACCCATTTTTTATCATTTTCATTACAATAGTCATTTTTGTAATCGAAAAAATTTTTTACATTAAATGCATGCTCAAAGATGTTTACGTTTGTGTGTATTTTTACCAGAATTTTAATTGAAATTCACAATGTTAATTTTGTTGGAGATTAAAGATAAATTACCATTTATTTTCTTGAAACTTGGTTGCTTTTGTTTAGAAACATCTGCTCTTTTGACTGAAATTTTAAAGAAATAATTAAAACTATATGCTTATGCAGTTTACCGAATATCTATTGAATCTAGTTTTTTTCTTTTAATTATTAATTAATTATCAACCCATTAAATTGTAAGTGCTTCTGTTGAAAGCCATTCCTTTTTCTTGTTCTCCGGTGTTATCAGAGGAATTGCAATGTGACTGTCCTGAGGGTCAGGTGGAGGTGGTGTTGTGGTGTTCACAACCTAAAGCGTTAACAATTGGCCATAGAGAAATGAGAGAAGTCTAAAATGCAAGTGAGAATTCGGCGATCCAAGTGAAGTCGGTTTTTTCCTTTATGCCACCTTCGCCTTCTTGCACCAAATGCTTATTTATGAGCGCCGCAGTTTATTGAACTTATAAAGTGGATTATGTTTCCTATTTAATTGTTTCCATTTAGATAAATCACTTAGCAGGAGATAAAAATGCACCTAAAATCACATTTTTAATACAAATTTCTCAAAATGTGGTATATTAATATATTTCTCGCTTTAGCTGTTTTTATTTTAAATATCTTTTAATAATTATTCATTATCTCCATAATTTACATCAAAAAATTAATGTAAATCAATCTTTTCCTTTGCTGAAATACAACTGGGACGAAGTAAGTACCAATGTAATACAAAACAACAGCATGAAAACGGGGAAAATTTTTAAAATAAAGTTTTTCTGTAGCATCGCACAGACCTTTTTACAAAATCGCGCTTTACATCCAAAGTATTTTCATTGAAAAAATGTGTATTAGGATTTCCCCCTAGTAAAAAACACTCCCGGGCCCTGACAAAGATCAATCTGAAAATGTTCCCTTCGGACAATGTCAACGATTTGCCTGACAGTCAGAGGCAGCCCCTGATTGAGCAGCATCAAAGGCTGCTCTTGACTTGAACCTTGCTTTTCCTTGTTTTACGATCACTCGGGGCATTAACTGCAGCGAAAGGGAGAGCAGGGTTTATTTGCTCACCCAGAGAATCGGGTCTGCCGCGATAAGCGCGCACGGCAAAACTTTACATTCGCCAGGAAAGTGATAAGGGATCGTTATGAAGTATTCCGTATTCCACTGCACTGCACCACAAACAGAATAGGACTTTCTCTAAGGGGACACATCAATAATATTTTTGTGCCAAACGCAGTGGTTTCATGGAAAAGGAATAAGTTTTCGTGTTCATGTGTCTCCCCAAAAAGGTGCGCGTCATTGGAAAACTTTACCTCTAACAATAAGTAATCGAGGAAAAAAGAAAATCTAGTGATTATTTGACCTGCTGCGACTTGCATCATCAATGCAAATTATTATTGATCAATATAGTTTTATAAGATGAAATTTCGCGCACAAATGAGACCATTTTTGCATGAATTTTTAGCGTGTTCTGTTCTAAGGAAAACCAGGAAATGAAATTCGCAGAGCGCATAAGTGAAGAATTACAGCCTTGTAGGACACAGAGTTGCAGCGGCAATAAAACGAGCTGCGGGGGACGAATTTATTTATTATGTATTCATTCAATGAGTGAGCGGAGACCGTGCCAAGAAGAGTCGCCGCCAAGATTAACCCCCGGCCCAGCGAGCAAACACATCGAGGGTGCGCGGCGTAAATTGAAAGCGACGCCTTTTGTGGTGCAGCCAACGCATCCCTTCAGAGCGCATTCATTTTGCCACCAGCTAGAAAAACGAGAGATGCAGCTTTAGCGGCGTGGGAAAGCAACAGAAATCGCTGAGAAACTCATTGCAGAGTCGCGATAACTGCTGTTGAAATTTTTTGTGTTTTTCTCTCAAATTTTGTGTTGAAAATTTTTTTATCACGGAAATTTTTAATATATTACTTTATTGAAATAATATTGCAATATTAAAATTTTAAATTTTACTTCGGAAATATTGGTACCTTTAAATCTTTAAAAGATATTTTAGCAAATAGATATTGGTCTTAAAATCGAATAAACAGAGAGAGAGAGTTTGTTTCAGATAATAGCAGTCTTATCCACATTAATTGATGTTCAATGCAGCGCGTAGGGAAATCAATTAACTAGTGTGTTCACCCACTTCAGTGGCAACAAGTCTGATCGGCTTTACTCCTAACTGATAATCCCCTTTCAAACCAGCAAGTTCTGTAGTTAATTCCTATAATTTGAAAACACCTTTACTTTTTCAAAGTTGTGAGTTTTCACACAACAATTGTTTGATTTTTTTGCTTAACCTGTCTTTAGGAGCTAAATTATAAAATTCAAAAATTTTTATGAACACGTAAACTTTTCTGTTTGATTTTTTGAATAAAATATCTGTATGATTTTGAATTTTTTTGAGGATAATTAATTACTGAAAACTGAAATTTCTCCACCATAGCCGTGGAAAAAAAATTTCCTTTGAGAACCAAAAATTTAATCAGCGTGGAGGCTGTTTTCTCCCGTGGTCCCCACAAATTACGGCTGCAATATATTCTGCTCCCCTTTTAAAGCTGCCAACAATGGAGTTGTTGCCAACAATTTATGGTGCGGAAACGGTGGCGCGGAATGAATTAATGAGATGCTCAGCAATACGCTACAATATACCACTAGCGACACGTTATTACCAGCTTTCACTCTTAAAATTAAAATATTGAATTGCTTAAAATTAAATTCTACGAAAAATCAATCTCAAATGGAGCTTTAATTTTGAATATATCAGATTTGTCAAATTAACTTTTTTTTATGAAAAAACATAAAAGTGCTTAATTTACCATTTAACTTGTAACTTCGAGTATATAATTTTAACTTACTATAATTGCTGCGAAAAATTGTGATGAATAATGATGCTAGCAATTCATTTCAATTGCGCATGTTTCCATTTTTCATTAACATCTCGCCAGCATCTCGCTAACTTATCATTACTTTCAAACAAAATTGAAAAATGCAAAAAGGTGAATCCATCAAGTCAAACATAGTGTGTGAGGCAATATAAAAAGTCTCACCTTTGATTGGGAAATTGGGCTTTGAGGGTATGTTTGCTAATCTAATGAGTGCAATACATTAAATAAAGTCAATTTGGTTTTTCACTTCAATATTTTCAAAACTTTTAAATATTTATTTAAGGTAAAACATGAAATGCAAATTTTACCCTTCAACTTTTATTATTAATTCGTTTCTCACTTACAAATTGCTTGCCAGCAAAATCAAAGTTCACAGGTAAACCTCCGAATGCCTGAGGCTGTTGAGAAACAGGTTTTCGCAGACCAGACCATGGCTGGCTGCCAGCATCACCTGATCGGGCGCTGAATTTCATTAGCTTGGGAACCACCGAGAAAGGAGCATATAAGGCAAGTAACTTTCTCAGCAGATTAACGACCCAAGATGAAGAATTCGCAAAGTCTGCCAATGTTGTAAGTGTCTTTAAATATTGCAATGAAAAGCCATTCAATTTTTCCCAGTATGCTTTTGGAAAATCCCGGAATTTGCCTGTTTTTTATAATAAAAATGGTGGCTGGACTTTGGACTATTTAAAAAGTCTTGATGAGTATGTTTTGGAATTTCACGCATCGTCTAAAGTGGTCTAAAGAAAAAGAAGGATTCTTTCTCGAGAACAAATTTGGAGAATTTATAACTTATAACTGAATTGATTTAGCTCCAGATTAATTCAGAGTTCCTTTGTGCGGTCTCACGCTGCGCTCGCAAATTGACGACTTTTTTTTTAAGTATTTCGAAACTTTAACTGTTGCTTCAAGATTTTAAAACTTATTGCCAGAAAATAGTTTCAATAAAAATTTAGACGCCAAGACGCCGTCTTAATAGAAAATACTTTTTGCGGCGTGCAATGAACTCAGCAGCTAGCAGCGCTGAGCATTTGATGTCCGGCTTCACATTTTTCCCGCATGACGTGTTTGTAAGCGTGGGGGAGATAAGCGCAGAAATATAGATATTTACATAGAGCAATAATATATTAATCTAATTCGCACCCAATTAACTAATTACGGTCGAAAATCGCCAAAATAAGTTGCTAAGTGATTATTTATAAATAAATCCAAGCATTGACTATAACATTCAGATATTGATAAAGCGCGCATTTTAATGAGAATTAAAACAGAGTATTTGAAAAATTATTAATTCATTTTTGCTTCCGAAAATTCAAAAAATGTTTGCTTTTGGATATTATTCTTAAGGAAAGACATTCTCAACTCTTTTTATATTTATATACTTGAAAGAATGCATGTGTATGTGTAAAAAGTAGTGGTTTAGTCGTCCTTATATTTTGGCTTTATTGAAGTATTGTGTTTCCATACTTATCTCACAGCATTTTTAAGAAAACCTTTAGCTACTCTGAAAACTTGTGGCTTTTTAATATGATCGTATTACTATCTTATATACTTGTATGTAAAATTAAAAATTTTTATTATAAAATGTATGACAGTTTACACATTGGTTTTTTTCTTTATCTGTTCCAGGACCATGGATATATATATTAAACCAGGGTAAAAACGCTAAATCCTGCTTCATCATGGATCTCACACGCCGTATTCAGGGAACGGCCCGCTTCGGATGCTTTACAGACAATGCGAACCGCAATGCTGATATGTAAATTGCACATCAAATATGTGCATAAAAATAAATGCATTGAATTTTAAATTGTTTCAGAGTCTGTTTGTTGTGCGTAAGCTACAACTTCACTGACGATCCGCAAATGGTTCGTAAGGGAAATAATAAAGACCTGGAAAATATAAAAAGCTCCTTTCACGATGACCGGCACTGCCACTATCAACACTTGCAGTCACCAAAAAAAGAAAAGCTTCTACATTTGCTATCAGAAAAAGATCGGCTAATGAGATTCTTTCAGACAAATGGTAAAATTTTTTTCCATAAACAAATGAAACTAACTTACATGTCTCATATTTCCGCAGACGTTCCTTCAGTCTTTGTGCTCATTGTTTTGTCACATGGAGATGAGAACGGCGTCATATATACTGATTATCAGTTGGAAAATGGATTGTATGATACTTTCACAACGTACCAAATCGTTGACTCAATGAAGAAATTGCAGAGCTGGGAAAAATGTTTAAATCTCCTCATTTTTGCGGTAAAATAAAAGATTTGTATCATTTTAAAATTTTATAAAACGAGATCAATCATATTATCTAGCCTTGCCGCGGGACTTTGAAAGACGTCATAGTATCGGCAGGGAGTCCTCAACCAGCTCCCTTTCCAAACAAAAACTCTTGCAAGATAACAAATTTTCCTGGGGCTGACAATTTCATCATAGTCTATTCCACCGTAGAAGGTATTTTCTATTATATCAGAAAAATATTTAATTTAAAAAAAAAAAAAAAAATTCATACAGCAACTCGAGCAAACAGAGACAGATATGGAGGAACTTGGTTAGTAAGCAAAATTTGCGAAACTCTGGACGATCTGACCGAGAGCACTACAATAGAGAACTTTTTCTCCATGGTGCATTTTAATATTAACGAGATTTCTACAAGTCATGGCCAGACTTTAGAAATAGTACAAACAGCGCACCCAAAATTTAAAATTTACAAGTAAAAATTAATTATTATTATATTTTTTAAGTTTGGAAATTTATTTATTTATTTTACACAGGAACATATCAAACCAGGGTACAGGCGATGTTGATGCAGTAGCAAAGGACACTTTCTACATGGACACGGCGGACAGTATGAAAAGGACATACTATTTATGGAAGTCCCAATCTGGCGAGCAGTTGAGAAGAAAACGCGGTGTTATTTGTGGCGACTGTAAGCACGCTGGAGACATTGAAAAAGCATTGAGAGAAAATCTTGATTTTGAAACTGATACACTCTCGGCTACAGATTTCAGTTTGGAAAAACTAAGAAGACTGGGTAAGCTGAATAATTTTTAAACATAATTAATTTTCTGACGTAAGCCTTATTAAATAAAGTTCAAGGAGGCCAATGCACAATGGGATGTTTTCTTGTTTGCTGTTTTGCAAGTGCAATAGAAGAGAATAAAGCAGACAAAGAACTTTGTGTCCAAATAGGAGCCAACAGAATAAAGATCAGTGATTTTGTCTACCTGTTTGTTGGGCCGCACAACATGGAGTGGATCGGGCGGCCAAAAATATTTTTCTTTGTGCGCACTCCCACTGCTACTGATGCATACAATTCAATGGTAAGAACAAGACAATTTAAATATGTAGCTGTTTTTTTTTAGTCGCTTTGAAAAATATTTCTTAAACACGATAATTTTGAAATTAATTAAACAAATCCTATTTTTTATAATGCGATATATTATATTATTATCCTCAAATTTTTTGTTCATACAGAGTACCGAGTTTACGATCAAAGCAACAAATCAAGCTGGCATTTTCATTTGTGTTCTGAACCACGAAAGTAAGTGACTGCCAATATATGTAGCATATTCGAGATGTCTAATGAGTAATAAAAAATTGCAGACGCTGCGGAAAAAATGGAGAACTTTTTGAAAAACCCTTTGCTGAGAGATGGTTCAACACTTCAAGAACTAGCAGGCGATCTTTTGCAAGAGTGTCAAGACAATGAAAGCACGCCCAAGTCTCTTATAGTAAGCACATTATCTTACCAGCTGGATTTTCCAGTTTGGTCACCAAATTTCGTCCCGCCAAAATTTATGGTAACAAGATTTTCCAATGAAAAAGCCATCGAGGATGAAAATGCACCGGATGCATTAAAAGAACATTACTCTTACGATGAACTTAGATGGGATTATCAAAAACAATATATTGATAACGATTCAAATGAATACTGCGTTTGGGTGATTTCATCAAAGTCTGGCTCTGGGAAAACTACCACTTTAAAGGAGCTCCAATGTTTCACAAATAGATATCAGCGGATTAAGAAGACTGCCTTTGTGCCTCTTTTACGCAATTTTCAGAACTTGCAAAAAAGCAAGCCATTCGATGCAATGGAATTTTTGCAGCGCACACAAGCTTTAGCCACTAACGATGATGGCTCCTTGATTCATGAGAGAAAGGTTGTTATCTTCTTGGATGGAATAGACGAAGTTTGTCCGGAACTAAAGAAAGAAATAATGGGGATCGTGAGAATATTTGCTCAGATGAAGTTGCCACTTCTTATAACGTCAAGACCACACGAAGAAAAAGAAATTTTGGAAGCTCTTAAAGGAGTTACCGTGAAGATCATTGAGATAGAACCATTTGAACAAGAGAGGCAAATTCAGCTCCTTCGTCAAATAACATCCAAATCTGAAATGGAATGCAGTCAGATTTTGTATAAACTTCGACAATTAGGCGCAACAGATATTCTGAAAAACCCCTTTCACCTCACATTAATATTAAATTTTGGCACTCAAAATAATATTCATGAGGGTAGCCTCTTTTCTGTATTTGAAGTTGTTCTGGAAGAAACAATACGTGAAACGCTTATGAAAAAAGAGCCATATGATAGAAATCACTATAAATTTGGAGTAGAAGTGGTTTCAAGAATGGAATTGCTTCAAAAGGTCGCAAAAATGCACCAATGTGATACAATTTGCGTAACGAAGTTGTCTGACAATGATATCATAAAAATCAACAACACAGGAGTAGCCACAGTGCAGAATGACAAAAAGACCGTAATATTTTATCACCAATCATACGCAGAGTTTCTGCTTGCTGGTATGTTCATTAGGGAAATCCGCGATCAAGGATCATCTCAAATACCAATTTTTCAGAAAAAAAACTTCAGACAGTGCCGTCTATTTGTGGACAGCTTTTTATCTGAGGAAAGCAGAGTTGATAAAAACTTGGCTCAATCACTCATGAATTACTTCAAAAACGACACCATTCAAACGACTTTGAAGCTAGTTGTAACTGAAGGTCTCAGGAACGTTTTTTTGCAACTTCGAACAAAAGTGAAATTCACTAGCAGTATAACTGATGAGGATAGTCATTTCTGCTTACCCATATCCAAAGGGCGCGAACTTCTGGCAGAAGCTTGCAAAACCGACGAAGTGATTGCAATTGAACTTCTGAAAATGGGCATACTTGAAACAATTGAAAAAAATGTGAAGAATCAGTATGTTAGTTGTCTAATTGACAACGTCGCTACGACCAATTCCGAGAAAGTTTTTGATGCATTAAAAAACAATTTCTTCGAAATTCGAGAAATTTTAAAGTCAAGCAAGGATTTACAAGCACTATCAATTGCAGCCAGCCATGGTAATCTTGGAATGGTTAAACGGCTCATAGAAAATGGCGTTGACACCGAAATAGTAGACACGAAAAATAAATGGACGGCTCTGCTCGCTGCAGTGCAAAACGGCCACCATGATGTTGTTAAGTATTTGGTTGAAAATGCAGAAAATCCTGCCGATACGAGTGTACGAGATGGCTGTGGCAAAAGCTGCCTTCACTACGCAGCATGCATAAGTGGCAGTCGGCAAACTTTGAATTTGCTGATTGAAAAAGACCACAGTCTTCTAAAAGAAAAATCAAACGACGGCAGCACTGTTCTCCATTATGCAGCAAGAAGCGATGATGTGGACTTGTGTCGATACTTTATTGAAGAAGGTGTAGATCTAGAGGCAGTTGACAAGCAGGGCATGAATGCGTTGCATATTGCCTGCATGCGCAACAGACTTCAAAACGTGAAATATTTTATTAGAGTTTATAATGATAATTCAACTTCTGGCGATAGTCTTGCTCTTTTTGTGAACAAACGAACAAATGATCAAATGACACCACTTCTCTTGGCTGCCGCACACTCTAACTACCTCGTCTGCGACTTTTTAGTTTCAAATAAAGCTGACTTAAATGCTGTTGATAAAAACGGAAACAATTCACTCCACTTTGCAGCATTAGGTGGCAAATTAGAGAACATTAAATACTTTTCGCAAAAGGACTACTTTGGCGCGCCAAAAACTGGATTTAAAAGCAGGACACTTCTTCATCAAGCGGCGTTGAAAAATCACGTAGCCGTTGCGAAATTCCTCCTTGACAAGGGAGCCGACATCAACGCTAGAGATGATGATGAGGCTACACCACTGCATATCGCATGTGCCTACGCAAGTGTCGAAATGTGCCAACTTTTAATCGCACGAAATGCTGACCTCCGAGCATTTTCCCGAAATAGGAGAACGCACTTGCATCTTGCAGCATCTGAAGGGAACCTTCAAGTCGTCCAGCTTTTATTAGACTTCAAAGTCTTTGAAATTGACGAAAAAGATGGGCATGGGCAAACAGCTTTGCACAGTGCCGCAAGCAATGGTCACGTGGATGTTGCAAAATGTCTCTTGCAAAATGGGTTTGACATTAACGCACGCGCCGATGATTTGAGAACACCTTTATCAATGGGAGCTGAAAACCCTACTAAAGAAATGTGCATGCTTTTATTGGAAAATGGTGCTGATCTTTCATTAAAGTGCTCAAAAGGAAACGGCGCTATACATTGGGCTTCGGTATTTGGCAGACTAGATAATGTCTTTTTACTCCTGATCAAGGACATTTCCCTCATTGAAAATAAGGGTGCAAGGAAAAGAACGCCCATTCTCATTGCTGCTGCCAATGGACACACAAAAGTTGTCGAGTACCTTATCAAAAAAGGAGCTGCCATAAATGTACAGGATGAGTGCAGATCAACAGCGCTAACTTTGGCTGCACATCATTCAACCCCCGAAATGTGTAGACTACTGATCAATAACAATGCAGATGTAAAGAGAAGAGATATAGATGGTGACAACGCCTTGCATTGCGCTGTTAAAAACGACAAAATTGAAAATGTCGAGTTTCTTCTAAGTACAAAATATTTTAGGGAAAAGATCTACCAGAAAAATAGACTTGGGTCAACAGTTTTTGATATCGCTAAAATTGAGCGCTCTCACGACATTACATCATTTTTGCACTCCTTAGCTCCACCAAGAAAGCGATGGGGAATTTTACGCCGTTTGCTCAGATTCACATGTTTTTTTAAAAACTGCGGTCAGCGACATGATAAGTTTGTTTAACAGATTTGATTTAGATTGTAAATATATTTAATTCAAAAATATGGAGGTAGATTAAAAAATTATTGTTTAATTTTATATCTGCTCACGATGACGTTCAAATGTATGTATAAATTTTATTATAAAGTTGTAAATATTTTACTGTTAGTAACGAAAAGTATATAATTTAGGGCATTAACGAAAAAATAATGTTCTATCTTTTAATTTTGTACATAAGACGTTTTTATATGTTTGAATAAAAGGATTAATTATACTGTTAAAACTATACTCTCTCCGACGCAATTTTTTCATGCTTCCGCTACCAAAAATATTTACTAAATAAATTATAAAACAATAATATATAATTTAAATTGAAATTCATAATTACGAATGAAAAATTAAAAACAAAATAATAATTTTTTGAATTGTGAAATATTTTTTCCGACAGTTGCTTAGCTAGTGACAAAAGTCTAGCGTTGTACTGAAAAAAACGCATTTCATGTCAAACTGTCTGCTCTAATTTTTCTTTTACCCGTCGCGCCTGACGCTTTTCTTGTTGCTATTTAAGAATTTAATTCCGCTAAGCTTACGAAGTGCACGCAGTAATTACAGTATCAAGGCCGCGGGTAGAAAAAACAACAGGAAGGACGCGACCAGGAGCAACAATAAAATAATTGTGCATGCATAATTTAACAAGGGAGAAAACGCGGCTCGAATCTTATTCAATTTGTCAGAGTGACTTTCATAGCAATGCAAAAAGTTGCACGCGATTTGCATTTCTTTCTCATTCATATTTCACTGCGTACGCGTTGAAATCGAAAACTGCGTCTTTGCTCTCTGGCGCTGCGTCGATCGAGCTGTGAAATTGCATCCCGTCTGCAAACCCCAGGCGTATTGGTCAAGGTCCGTCCGTTCTATTTCGCACTCCGCACGCCGCGCACGCCTAATTTACATCCAGACGGGCGGAGAGAGAAAATAAGAAGAGCGCCGGCTCCTTGGAGAAAATACAATAAATCAGCTGCCGATTTTATCGCACAAAGGACCGGCCTATCTCTTAAGAGAGTTTAATTGTTTTCGTGATTTGTGGCCGAGCTGGGAAGGGGGTGAATGGAGCTAGCAGAAGAGAGAGTGCTAATCGCCACATCTGCAGGCCTCTCGATAGCTGCTAAACTACCACATCAGCCTTATCTGATTACGAAAATTGGGAAAATGGGAATCATAAAACTAGAGTGATTATTTTATATTTTGCGGTTGGTTTTCATCAGAATTCGGATCGATGAAAAAATGGTTTTTTAAATAAACTACTGATATAAATAAATGAATATTATATTATATATAAAAACAAATCATATATTATATTTTTATAAATTTTCAGCAGCGCAGTTATTTGAAGAAACGTTTTCTTATTTCTTTTTAGGAGCTGTAATTGCACAGTTTCTTAAATAGCATAGTGATTAATTGTGAACAATGTTGATTGTAGGAACCGCAGTATATAGGAAAATACAAAAATCTGATCCCGCATATGCACAAAACTGAAATTGCACCAGATTTGGTTTGTGAGTATTTTTTCTTGCCATTCTATACTGAAAGTGCTTTTCCGTTCTCACGACACGTAAAAAAAGTCGAGGCCAAACAAAATTTTCCTTTGCCTTAGGGTCCAGTTAGCCTTTTCGTCGGTCTCGCGGGATGAGCGGGTTGCATAAAGCGCACAGCAAAACGAACACAATCTCATTTCTTTTGCGGTGGAAACATTTTCCTCTTTGTCTGCAAAAGGACGTCCCTATCTCTTCCTGCACAATTGAATTTTAATGAATTTCCAATGCAAGGACAAGACAGTTCTTTACAGCTGACTAGAGCCTGAGATATATTCACGTTTTCATCCCCTTGCCGGCGAAAATAGGGCTTCTGCTGCTGGGACATCTGGCCGCAGCATCGTCGCCAATAAAACGCCGCTTTGTTGCAACAGGGCTATTAAGGGCATCGATTGCAGCCGCCAACAATGATGACGAGGAGAGAGCGTCGAGTGCCCGCGGGAGACCGACGGACGCGCAAGGACGAGGCCCATTAATCTTGAATATCATCAGCAGTGGAAAAACGGCTCTCCCTCTGACTTTTTATTCAAATGTTTCGCACAGAGAAAATGAGGAATTTTTTAAACCCGCTCTTGGCACTCCTCAAATGGATCTCGGTGAAATTTTTACTTTGCCTCTCTCGGTATGGAAGAATAAATTCAATAAATGAATTTAATGTAACACAAAATTATTACTTTCAATAATATTAACTGAAAAATTGAGCAATCAAAGAAATAGAAAGTTCATAGTAATTCACTTTGATATGGAAAAGGAAAAACTTGTTCAATTATATAAAATAGCCGTAATTAAAATGTTAAATTGTAAGAAGCAAGTATGAAATAAGATTTAATTCACCGATCAAACGTGTTTTGTTGAACAATTTCTATATTTGTCATTAATTATAAATAACAAAAATCATGGAAACATTCAAAAATACCTGCATTGTTTATTTGTGAGCTGCAAACACGATTAATCAGCCTGTAATTACAAACCGAATAGTGAATATGTTTTAATTACATATAGCTTTATTTGTCATTGTCAACAAGTAAAATTCGCATGAACATGCGATCAAAGAGACTGACCTGCATCTGCGTCAGTTCAGTGCTAGCTGAGGGAAAGAGGGAAAATCTGAAACACATAAATAATAATTCTAGTTTAACTTTAATGACTTTTGAAACCGCTCTAAAGCTCCTCCCCACGCTCATCAGGTCTATTAATTTTTTCTCAGATTTCTGTTTTCTGCTACTGGTCTGCTAGGGAATGCGTGCAGAAAAACACGGGGGTGATAATAATGATAATAATATTTGCCCAGAATTTCCACGGTGAATTACATACATTAATCACAAATTAGTAGTAAAATATAATTATGTCTAAACCATCCTCAGTGTGTTAAAAAAAGTGATTTTTAATGTCATTTAAATATTTACAACAAACTATGGCTTCTTTTGGTAAATTTTTCCTTTATCCTAGATTTATTTTTATTTATTAATATCTGCGAATCGCTTGAATTCTCATTTTTGTTTAAATATTTAGATAACTACCATTTGCTACAGCTTTAGTTCGCCAAATAAAAGAACGATTTTTTTATTGATCACCATCAATTCCGCGTTCTGCCGAAAAGGAGAGCTCTTCAGAGTCAACTTGAACTTTGAAGCACATTAATCCACTTAAAACTTTTTTCCCTAAAAAAAATGCGTTCTTTTCCCGGACTAATTGAGCTGCCAATCGAGGAGAAAACGGGTCGGCCGACGGCTTTTTGTTATCAAAGTTTACCGTGCGTCTGAATGACCCTCGCTCAGAGACGAGCCGCTTCGACGTAGACGAGATCGAGAGTTTTTTGGTCTGGAGCCTGGGGTGCGTGATCAAAGGGCAGCTGCATTAATTAAAGGGCCATTGACGGCCTACATTCCGCGCGACCGCAATTGCTTGTCTTTGTTTTGGCAGGAGTCAGCCCCCCACACGTGGAATGCACCGCAGGGTTGTTTGTACAAGACGCCACGCAAATTTGGCTCCGAAGCCACCTGTGGAAACGAGCTAATTAGGCAAGAATCAACATGACATTCCGTTGTACTCAAAGGCGGTACAGGTTTGATTAGCGGCGCTAAATTGTTTGTTGGTGCGGCCCAACAATTATTTGCTGTTAATTTGCTCTAATGTAAATTTGAATTAAATTTCAAACTACAGAGTTAATGTTATAAAAAAACAGACTTATTTAATGAAATATCAAGAAAATCATTTTTGTCAAATTTTAGCAACACTTGAAATGAAAAACTTTGAAATTTTAAATTAAACCATCCATCAGAAACTTTTTCAACAAAGAACTTCATTGTAATATTTATCAATGGATTCCACAGATTATTTATTTGGTATGAATATTTAAAATTATGTATTTTTTTACAACAAATTTTTACACCATACTTGCGTTTACTATTCTATTCGAATTATTAGTTCTCTTCTTTTTGTTCATTCTGATCAATTTTCAATTTTGATGAACTTTGGTGTTTTTGTTTTTTCTTTTGAAAAGAAAATTATTCCTCGTATTTTCCACCTGTTAAAAATTCAGTCCACGTAACTCAACTACTGTCTGGCAAAAAAGACACGCACGATTTCCGAGCGACACTTTTCCCTTTTTGCAGTGCAGCTGCGAAAGGTGCCGAGAACAAATGAGCTGCGTTATTACCCTCGTGGCCGACGTTGAATATACCCGGTGGCGTCATTTGTCCTTAGTTAGCGGCGCGCTCACAAAAGAGGTGAAAAAAGTCTGTATTTGTCAGCGTGGCATGTCGAAAGGACATAAATCAAATAGGGGAGTAACCAAAGAGTAAATGAGGGACAAAAAACCAAAGGTAATTTTCGCACACTCTCGCAACAAGGCCAGACAAATTTTGCTTCCAAATATAAATTAAGGGGAATTATTCTTCAAAACTTGATCTCAATTTCAGGGCAATTATTGTAATAAAGAAAGTTTTTCAATTACTTCATGAAAAATTTCTAAAAATAAACTACAAATAAATAAAGACTAGACGTGAACCCAAGTATATGCGAGACTGAAATTTATTTTAGAATAACATTATTTGCCAGCTTGGGAGTTTTAAGTCAATATTTGCTTCTTATCTTAATGAAAATCGTCTGCATGTTCATTCCACAAGTATCAAAAGCAGCAACTCGACGGAATGCTGCATAGACTAAAAATGATTTTCCGGGTCGCGTGCTCCAATTCGAGCTTCCGTCCCAGCTTTCGGGCACATTATTTGCCTTTGCCTTCGGTGGCTTACCTCACTCCGATCTGCCCGAGAGAACTTTGTCTTGCAGCAAACACAGAGAGAGAGGAGCGACAAACACGCTGTCGCTTTTTGCTTCGATGAATTGGCATTGCACAGACCTTATAACTGAGCGACTGCTTTCAGAGTAACATCGCACTTGCAGTCTGTGCGGTGCAGCAAAAGCTATACAACGTTTGAAAAATGTATATCCCTGCGAGCGTACGCAGAAAACTCGACACGCTGCGCTCTTTGTAGTTTTAAAAGCTCGCGATGCAGTGAAGGCTCTCATTTTTCCAACTCTTACAACTCGGCCTGACGTGAATATAAAATTCATATTTTCACTCTCTTAACAAAATAAAATCATTGTATAACTTTAAGAAATAATGGAAAAGCCAGGCTCTTTTTTTCTCTTGCCACTAACTTTGCCGATTT